CATTCTCGTTGTGTAGTGCGTTCTCGTTGTGAGGCATTCTTCTTCGGCATTCTCGTTAGGCATCTCGTTGTGTAGGCATTTCTCTAGGCGTTCTCGTGTTAGGCGCGTTGTGTAGCTTCTCGCATCTCGTTGTGTAGGCGTTCTTGTCGTAGGCATTTCTCGTTGTGTAGGCCTGGTCGTGTAGGCATTCTCGTGTGTATTCTCGTTGTGTAGCGTTCTCGTTGTGTAGGCATCTCGTTGTTTGTAGGCATTCTCGTTGTGTAAGGCGTTCTCGTTGTGTAGGCATTCTCGTTGTTGTAGGCATTCTCGTTGTGTATAGGCGTTCTCGTTGTGTAGGCATTTGTGTAGGCATTCTCGTTGTGTATCGTTGTGTAGTAGGCATTCTTGTGTAGGCATTCTCGCTATGTATTCTCGTTGTGTATGTAGGCATTCTCGTTGTGTAGGCGTTCTCGTTGTGTAGGCGTTCTCGTTGTGTTGCGTGAATATTTAATAAAAATAGGAAAGTGGTCGCTTCCCAACGAGTCGTCAATGGTGTGCCACAGGTACTTGGTTGCTACTGCTGAGGAGACTAGAGATAGGTCAATGAAGCTCAAGTTACCGGTATTATCGTCCACTCGCGTCGGACTACCATCGTCCAGAAGGATTAGTTCAGAACCATTAAGTACCTTGGAGTAGGTGAGTGAAACATGTGAAACTAAAAAGATGCAAAAAATGTAATTCTTATTAGAACTGTAAAAATGATAATCTATTGTGTGGAAATCAATGGCAAATTTAGGTCTATTCATTGTTACTCCAGGTAATAAGGTCTTCTTAAATACGAAAACCATCTATAGTACATTATCTAGAATAGTGCTAGAATGGGGAGAGTCCACGAGACGTTTACTCCACGCAGGGACAAAGGATTATATACTACATGGAATTATCTAACTCTCACTTGGAACACAAGACAAGATTCTGGATTATAATCACCACACAAGAAACCAAACATGATCATACAGACACGGGGAGAGGTGATGGCGTGTAATAAATCTTTTGGAGTACAGTCTTTTGCAATTTTTTAGCTAATACTTGCATGAAACACATATTTTTCGTAACGCCCGGGAGGTACGTACCATTAGCTACACCCCTGCCAAATATATTATGAATTAAATGGGCATTTGCACCATTGCCAATAGCAAACAAGATAAAAACTTGATCAAAGTTTATCATTTCAGTCGAAGGAGACCTGAAAGGGTTAATGTATTTCAGTACAGGTTCATACTAGTTTTAAAAACTTTCTTGGTAACTGCGCTGTATTGATACACAAAATATTTAAGAATACATAATTTTTTTCCATTTCAGTTATGATGTCTAAGTCAAAAGGCCTCATATTTGAGACTAGTGTTAAATTTCATCATTGTTTGACCTCCGGTGATCCTGACCTTTGGTTTGAGTAATCATGCTTACATTGTAGCTTACTTTCTAAGCCACAACATGAGTGGTCATACATGACTATATGTTGTTTAGTTTAAAAGTTATTGCGATTCTAGTTTCCCTTACCCCCAATTTTTCATGCATCCGAGGGTGCTGACTTTTCAGGCAAAATACTGAAATCCATTAATGCCGGGTTTCAGCATGTCCACCCTCGCTAAAAAAAAAAAAAAAAAAAAAAAAAAAAAAGGTGTTCCAGGAGACTCCCTACAAAAATCAAGTGAGGGATTTCGGGGCCTCTCGACCCCCAAAATACCTCTTGGCTCCAGGACTATTGATCAAATCGGTCAAAATCGGCTTAAAACCGGCCCTGTTTGTATGTGTGTGTGTGAGTGTATTAATATGCGTGCATGTATTTATAAATATATATATGTTATATATATTGTATGTGTATATATATTATATATAAATATACACATATAAATGTATATATGCACACATACACACACATATATATGTGTTTGTGTATATATGTAACCCAGCTATATCTATATCTAATTACTATATGATACATATATATATAGTCTTACATGTTTGTCACATATATATACATATTTTCACATATACATATGCATATACGCCTGACCATTGCTTCCCCTGTTTATTCCTCTCTTCTTGCCACACCAGACATTCCAATGTTGTGTTGTCTATCTCATCCACAAGAGCTATGTATTGATGTAACGCTTGTTCTTCACCGTTCGTCACATGCTAACAACGTGACTTGGTGCGATCTTTAGACCACTGTATAGGAGATCAGGTAGACTCCCTGCGGGGATCCTCGGAGCAACACCTCGCTCCTACGAACAGCCGCACTCCAACATTACTATTCATTAAAGGAATCAAGAGTCTTGGTTGTCTACCTTAAACCCTAAGCTCGCCATCTACCAAACTCTTGTAAGGCCTAACATTCGGGCTCTTGCAATATATATACATATATATATTGCTTGCGCTTATGTGTGTGATCGTTATTTAGTTAGATTCTTAGGTAGTTGGGTTGTTAGATGGAGTGTGAAATAGTTTGGTTGTTGTATAGTTAGATTGTTAGATTGTTAGACTGAGATAGACTTAGATAAATAATTGGATTGTTAGATAGGTGGTTGGGTTGTTAGATGATTAAATAGTTTTTTTGATAGCTTGTTAGGTAGATTGTTGGATAGCTGGATTGTTAAATCGTTAGGTAGTTGGGTTGTTAGATTTTTAAATATCTAGATAGATTGTTAGTTGGGTTTCTAGATAGATTGTTAGATAGTTGGACTTCTAGATAGGTTGTTAGATAGTTAGGTTGTTAGATAATACGATTGTTAAATAGATATTTGGACGGCTAAATCGTTGGATAGTTGGACTGTTAAATATCTAGATAGATTGTTAAACATTTAGTTATTTGGATTGATGAACTGTTAGATAGATGGGTTTTTAGATTGTTAGATTTTTAGATAGTTGGGTTTGAATGTAAGACTGATTGTTAGATAGTTGAGTTGTTAGATAATTAGATTGTTTAATAGATATTTGGATTGCTGAATCGTTAGATAGATAGTTGTGTTGTTAGATTGTTAAATATTTGGATTTTTGAATTGGTAGATAGTTAGGTTTTTAGATGGTTGGGTTGATAGAAAGTTATACTGTTAGATCATTAAACATCTAGATAGATAGTCAGGCTGTTAAATAGTTAAATACATGTATATATGAATACATATATATACATATTTGGATAAATAAATAGATTGACATATAGACATATCTATAATAAGTAAATAAATACATGTACATTTATGTACATATGAACTTGTGTGTACATCTCTCTCTCTCTCTCTCTCTCTCTCTCTCTCTCTCTCTATATATATATATATATATATATATATATATATATATATTAATGAATGCGTAGTTACATATACATGCATGTATATATATATATATATATATATATATATATATATATATATATATACATAAATATTTTTTAAAATGTATATATATATAAGAATAATTGATATATATATATATATATGTTATATATATACGTGCATGAAATATATCCAGTAAACACTTAGGTAATACCGCGCAAACTGCGAGTTGTAAAAGAAAGGGGCGGAGCTAATGACGTCACCGTACTTAGCCAATGAGGACGCTCCGAGAGATGCTACAAATCACTAGATGAATAAATACTGTATTTATCCATTTATTTACAATTTCTAAAAGTAAAACAAAAAATCCACACTTGTATTTATGGTAACAAGGTACTTCATACCATAAGCAAGCGTCTGTGATAATAAAATAGTATGACATTTTTCTGTAAATATATTGAATTGCAAAGTATTCGAATTAACAGTGTTTCCTGGTTTCCAAAATAGGTTCTCGAAACTTGAAACAGGATGGTCCAATATTGTTTTGTTTTTTACACATCATTTATCCCCTAATATCTCAGTCCATGTTATTACAATTATTTTATGTGAAGTAATCCATTCCAGGAGAGGCAGGATAACGTCACTTTCTTCTGGTCCCTCAAGCACAGGGAACCAGCTATTATGCCATTGCCTTTCGTCGCTTAACCCTTCCTGTACCGACTATGGAAGACGTTGGAATTTTCTTGTGAATTTTAGATATGTTGTTCATTATGGCACACATGTATCCTATGTTTTCAAAATAAAGACACGCATTTAATACCTATTTCAAGGGCGGGAATTGGGGTTCCCTTCAGGTAGCGTGGGACTATCAGTGCCCGTCAGGCAAACAGGGGTTAGAAGAAATTAATAGGGTTTGCCGTGGCGGCCGAGGCAGTTTTTTTTTTTTTTTTTTTTTTTTTGCCTGCCATGCCAGTTCTTGAATATCATTACTTGAGGACCAATACAGATAAATAGAAAGGAGCCAATTAGTTTGAAGGTCATATGTGAAATAACCTATTTTACGAAAAATAAGCTCTGTCACTGAAAGTGGTTACAGCCCTCCTGACATTGCAATTCTTATCAGTCCTGTGTTTTTATAGACAAAGTTATTACAAATATCAAAGCATTTATTGAAAAAAGTTACACGAAGTTTTGAACATATCCTAATATGGCCAAAGTCTTTATTTATCTATCAATATTTCTCTGTATCCTTTTGTCTGTCTCTCTTTTCTCTCTCACACACACGCACTCTTTCTCTTTCTTTCTCTCCCTTTGTGTGAGTATCTCTCTCTCTCTCTCTCTCTCTCTCTCTCTCTCTCTCTCTCTCTCTCTCTCTCTCTCTCTCTTAAGACGGCATTGCCTATTCTAATTGAAAAATGATGTATATAGTTTTAAGTTTTGTACATTCTTAGCTATAATAAATTATGCATTGCTGTTGAATATGCAATATACATGAGTTACATGCAACATATCACCGAGAGAGAGAGAGAGAGAGAGAGAGAGAGAGTCTCTCTGATCTACTGCTCATCTCTTCTCAGCTTCTCTTAGCCTTCAACTGAGCTTGGCAGATTGCTCGCAGATGTCAAAAACCTCTGTGTGCAAGTCTGTTGGTCTGACTGCCTGGCTTCCTTAGCCTCAGAATTCCTCATGTTCCCAGATGCAAGAGATGCGGCGGCAAATATCCAGAAGTTCCAGGCAATGGCAGGGATACCTGGAGTTATTGGCTGTATAGATGGATCACGTATCCCCATTAGAGGATCAGGAGGAAATGGTGCAGACCTCTACTGTCGCCGGAGAGGATACTTTTCCATTAACATACGGGGAATATGTGATGCAAATTTGAAATTCATGAGCATCATTGCTAGTTGGCCGGGGAGTGTGCATGGCATCAGAATTTTTGAATTCATGTGTGCCATATCCTCGTGCAAGGAAATCATCCTGGCTACCTACTTGGAGACAGTGGGTATCCTTGTCGTAGTTACCTGTCAACCCCTGTCTAAGAACCAACAATTGCCAAGGAAAAGCGCTACAACACAGCCCACGCGAAGACCAGAATTGTGACTGAACATGCCTTTGAAATTCTGAAAAAGCGCTTTGCTTGCCTCAGCCAGCCTCTTCGTGCAAAGCTGGAAAATACTGTGCAGTTCTACATAACATAAGTATCCTCCATGGTATAGACAGAAATTGGAGAGGTTGATGAGTCACTTGCGAATATGCGCAAGAGGTTCATACAAATATTGCAAATGGGGCCTTTTATGTAAGGAACAATGCAATAAAATCGGTTTTAGATTAACGTTATAAGTTTCAGACGTGCAATGCTCTTTCACATTTGTCTGTTCCCCTGTTTTATTTGCTTGTTTGTAATATAGTACACTCATTACCAACTTCAAATAATATGAAAAATATGGTAAGCTATTTGATTATTTTGACATTTCCAGTGCCTGAAAGTATTATTTTCTTTGTTATTATAATGAAACTTTATTGTAAGTTATAAGTCAGTTTGGTCGTTTATATAATTATTTTTATATTGTCATAAAACAATTTAGTCCACAATTGTTTACTGCTACTTTACCATAATATTTACTAGCATCATGTTATTTTTAATAGTTTTCTTAATACAAAAAAAAGTTGAATAACAGCATATTTGTTTCACTTTGAATGCGAGTATATTTTCACTACATAGTTTAACATGGATATACATTTTCATTAAAGGTTATAAATATGCTCTACATGAAAATTATTTAAATACACTTAATAATTACATTACTTATTTGTATACATTATGATGTCTGTGAGAACAGCTACAGGAAAATGAACATAATCTTGGGGAAAAATGACTCTTCAATATCATTACAATAATTAATTTTGTATCAGTAGTAAAATAATATACTACTCCATATCACAAGCATCAAATAAGTATATGCAAAATCTCTACAGTAAATTGTAATCAACAACACACCTCTGTACTGTAAACAAAAAAGTATTCATCATCTAAATTCTACAATAAAATGAACTCCTTGTATCACACTATGAAAATAAACCACACAGATTTACTAAATATCACAGTAGTAAAATCTCTAATTTCCTCAGTATCACATCACAAACATAAAATTAACTAAATATCCATTGTGTCAAAAAATAAAGAAAACCATTACTTTCCTTCAAACTTGGCTATCCTTAGGACTCTTGCTTCCTACAGAAATGAAACCACTTCATCAGCAGTCTTTAACAGTAGTTAAATGAACCGTATTCATTTTGACAGATGTGGAAAGGTATGAATGAGAACGAATATCTTCACAATACAAGAAACGTATTTTACCGGTTTCGATTATATCTTCGTCAGAAATAAATGAATACATGAGTGTATTTCCGACGAAGATATAATCGAAACCGGTATAATACGTCTCTTGTATTGTGAAGATATTCGTTTTCATTCATACCTTTCCACAACAGTAGTTAACTTGGTGCGAATGAACTCAAATTCCGGGTTGAATTGGGCGGTGTTCCTGGGCGGAAGATGAGGATACAGCACAGTGAAGCTCGCTGTAACTTTCTCCTTTCTTGCTTTCGAATTATGCTTGAGGGATCATGCATTTTCCCAAGGATAGCTGATTTGTGTTCAGCTACCAGAGAAAGGATGCTCTCCTTCTGATCCTCCGAAAGATGAATTAGTTTTTCCTGCTGAGCAGCCGTCACCGCGCGCTGTTTACATCATTAACAGCAGAACAGGCGTACCAACTGTTCGGAAACGACGAATGTTTGGGGCAGGGCACAAAGGGAATGGTGGTTGGCCCGACGCAATTTGCCCTCGTTTAACAAATTCATTTGAACTGTTCGGGCTAACCGCAAACAAAATGGTGTTTAACAAACTGGCCGTATCTTATGCTTTCTCTAGGTCTATAGAAACACAGTAGTACTACATCCTCCTGTATCCCTCCTATTTTGTCCAGCAGTTGTTCGATGATGAGTATTGCATCTGTTGCTCCTCTTCCTTTCATATACCTAAATTTCATGTCAGTACTTATGGGGACCGTCTGTTTTTTTTTTTTTTTTTTTTTTTTTTTTTTAGATTTTTCGATTTTTCTTGCCGATTTTGATGAAACTCACACCCTTTTATTTGGGCCCCTTCCCATTGCCTGTGGTCTATTTTTTTCGAAATCGCCCGAACAGTTTTTGAATTATTGTCAAAAAACGGAAAAATGCAAAATTCGCCATTTTGAAAATGCAGCACCTGGGTCAAAGGATTCCGGCTTCAGAAACGGCAAGACATTCAATTTTATTTGATTTTTGCACAGAACTACCTTATATCTACAACTTGATCGAGAGCGTTTTTTCGATTTCGACTTCCATTTTTTTTTTTTTTTTTGTAAATTTTTGAAGTAGGGCACTTCAAGAAAAAAAAGGTAAAAATTTTCTTACATTGACCACTTTTACAAGAAGTACAGGCAAAAACTGCGAAAACGCTCTCGATCAAGTTGCAGACATTTTATTTTTCTACAAAATGAGCCATAATATGTTAATTTTGGACATATGGTGTGCCCGGAATCCTTTGACCCACCCCTAAAGGTGGAGTTCCGAGATATCGGCATTTTACGTTTCTTCATCTTTCCAAGGCTATCTTGATATCAACAAAACAAGGCATAAGATTAGTCTTCCTACACCATAATCCTCTATCATTGCCAGCACGTAACGGTTTCTCAAAATCTTACGTATAGTGCGGAGTGGTGGCAGTGATCTGGGGGTCTATAGGCCTACATTGACCATTTTTAAAAATTTCTCAAAAATCCAAAATCATACAGCCATTCTGATTTCATGTTTGAATAGAACTATCTTTCTACTATTATATGCAGAAGCCATTTTTGAGAAGTTGACCTTACTTTTTTCTTGGTGAATATTTTCCGAAGGTGACTATTTTAACACCCTAATAGATTTTGAAAACATGTCACTTTTACAAGAACCACGTGAAAATACTGCAAATCCTCATGGCAGTATGTAATAGAACTATTATTCAGCTACAAAATGAGCCATAATACTTTAAAATCGGACCGATTATACGTGTGCTATGCGTAAAAATATGACGGACCTAAAAATCACGATCTTATTCCTATTTATTATGTTTACATTTGACATGACAAATCATGTACAGAATACTTGTATTTGATATAATTATCTATCATATACTTATTATTGATGCTCTAATGGGGTTTTACAACGTATAATATTTGTCGAAAGAATAACTTTTCTCCAGTCGGACGGGTACCAAACGCATCCTTTTCCCCGCGCGGTCGGGCCCGCCCTGAACCATAAAAATCGTCTTTTTAAATCTGCGGAATAACTCTACGGGGTCACGTAGCCAAATTTCACTCTCAGACCCCGTGGAAAGACGAAAAACAATTACATGGCGATGTGAAACTATGTATATAAGGTATATGAGCACATATAGATAATTTTCGTGTACCCCATGACCTTTTGTTTATTTATATTGTTACTTCCATTTGTTTCTTTGTTTGTTTATTGATTGTTTATTTGTTGTTTTTTTATTATTAGTTTGTGTTTTCTAATATTTCTAAAAGTTATGAACACATTTTAACGAGATTTTAACCAAAGGTTATTGCAGTTTGGTGGTGATGCGGACCGTAGTTTGGATCCAGGAATTTTTTTTTCTAACTCGAAAAGTTATCAACAGATTTCGAAATGTTTTGCTCATAGATCAAAGTAACTATGTATGATGAAAACATAAAGAAAAGAAAATACACCATATGAAAAACATATCATGTTTAGTTATTTATATGGAAAATTTCTTCATTGTCGTTATTTGGACGCTTGCCGGATTTTTGAAATCATTCCGAAAAAAAGAAGGTTGGTCTCATCTTATGTGAAATTTCATATTTTTATTATCTCTAATCATTGCGTCACAATTGCCGATTTTCTAAGGTAACATCAAAAAAATAATATTTCCGTCGACATCGAAAATCGCTGCTACCACCTAAAAAATAACGGTCGGGCCTTGAAATTTTCAGGGGAGAACCGGGGCCCTAGAAACTCCTTGAAAATGCATTAAAGTCAATTTCGGCAAGAGGGGCGAAAATCGCCGAAAAATCAGCAGAAGGTCCCCTTATTTCCGTTGCTTTTCATTTACAAAACTACAATATCTTCAGTCTATGCTCCATTTTTTCCTTACTCTTTTCATTCCAAGATGTCTCCCTTTGTTTATATGTTTGTAAAATTATACTTTTATTCTTTCCTCTGGTATCCTATCCTCCCCTCCTTCTACATATCTTATACTAGTATACTTAAATTGCCCTGTGTCATCTCTGTTGTCACCTCAGGTGCTTCATTTGCCTTTCCTCTCTTCATCTTCCCTATGAATTCCTTCTCCTCTAGTGTATTAACCTTGGCAGGTCTCAAATATAGTCCTTTAAATATCACGGTTGTTCAAGCTCTTTTGTAAAAATAATATATCTCTATATGTCAATAATAATATGCATAAGTATTATACATGAGTATTATGGATATTGATGATCATAAAATAAGTGATCAAGGTATAATTAACATAATTACTCGCCACCATGCCTATGACGTGGACGGTGCCCTATAACTGCTTATTTAAATCTTATGTAGGACTATGGAATATTTGTTTTTGAGTCCCTTTGACAACAAGCAATGTCAAAGCAGTGCCACTTCGTACAGGTGAAAGAACTTATTGGTGCAGTGATATACATGTACCATTATCAGTGAGGCTTAAGCAGTCCTGTATTCAGACGTGATTCTGATTTAGATATATTAAATTACATTAGGTTTAGAATTATAGGAAAAACTCTTATTGCAGATGCTTGGTTTTCTTATATCACTTCTCTAAAGTGTATTCGTATGTGCCTCTGTGTCTCTTCCTGTTGCTTTGAAGTTGAAATTGGTTTAGTTGAGAATCTAGTGACTTCAAAAAGTTGAGAATTTCTGGCGCTCCAAACCCAACACATGGACTCTGTGTCAGGTCAGCGAAGTACGCCTTGACCGCTGCCGGCTCCCAGGAAGTCTCCTGCGAGGCGGGGTCAGTGTGTTCCTCGCACATCCTCCGGAATACCGAGGTCATCCTCTCCACTAAGTGCTCCTCCGTCCACTGCTCCTCATCTGTCACCTCCTCCAGCTCCAGGAAGAAGGTATTCTTGAGGAGGAAGCCCTTTGGCGAGGGAATCTTGAAGAATCTTCCATGGAAATATTTGAACTGGTTCTGGACGTGTCTCGGTGCCCACTTCTCCACCTTCAGGGCACTGAGCACCATCTTGCAGGCCAGAAATACCCTGCGCTTGTCAGCCGTCAGACTTTTCATGACTGCATTTTCTGCCAGTGCGAAAGAGAACCTCCATTCGTTGTTGCCAATGCTATTCAAATACACAGAGTCAAGGGTGGAGGGTGTGAGCTTTGGCCTCCTGAGTGCAGGTGGCCAACTGGCTCTAGCAGTGGCCACAACATCAACATCCACCAGGAGCAGAGGGAACACCTCACCTGTCCAGACGAGGCTGAGCGATACGCCCACCTGAGTCTTCTTCACTCCCGGCAGAACAATGGCCAGTCGCCTGTCTTCAGGCTCACAGTTCACAAGACACTGCCTCACTGTGCAATAGAAAAGGTCCAACAATAGTTCATTTAAAGCTTTATCTAATTTCACAGATCCATCTCTTAAGTCTCCTTTCCATGTCACAGGAAAATTTATGTTCATATTTTGTATGATGATATTAAAGTCAAACTCATCTGGGCAAAATAATCGAACATTGTCTTCAGAACTCCCTAGCATTTGCAAATCACCTTTGTACATTGGATTTATTGTTGTAATTGAAAGTATCAACTTCTGTATGAACTCTGAAACAGATTTTTTAATTGCACGAGTTTCATCACTTGTGAAATCTACATGACATTCTTGGACAGCTTGACTTATGCTATTTTCCATCCATATTCTCCTTAGATATTGCAGATGTTCTTGTATAATTTGAGAGGCAGTATTATCTCTTTGCATTTTTCTTTTCTGTAGGCTATTGGAGTCCAGTTTATACAGTTTCAGGTAATGGTTGTACCCTTTAAGCATAGATTCAGCAGGAAGGCCATTGCTGTTCTTAATATCAGTTTTAAGGAAGTCCCCAACCTCCTGGTGCCCGAACATGTACGCGTAGTGGGCAGGTGTGTTGCCGAAGCGGTCCTGCACACTCGGTGAGGCTCCTTGACTCAGAATGTACCTGGCTGCAGACATGTTGTTGTGAAGAGCTGCGTAGTGGAGCGGGAATCCTCCACACACTTCGTCAATCTTCTCACTAATGTTGGCACCAACCACGCATGTCAGCAGGTGTAAGAAGAGAGGCATATCTTTCTCACAGGCCTTGATCATGGCCGACTTCAGTAGTGTATCAAGGTTATTTTCATGTAAAGATCCTGAAGAGACATCCCCAAATACGGCACTTAGTTCACTGAATTCTCTCCAATATGCCTGGTGTATTTTACTTATCGACTCCAAAAGCACTTTGTAGTCGCTTTCCTCAGTTTCCTCAGCTTGTTTAATAGCCTCATTATCCACATTTTCCTTTGGCAAAATTCTTGCAATGTTGTCAAAAATATCTTGAATCCAGTCTCTGTTTCCTTCGGATGCGATACCATTTCCATGAACGGACAATACCCACGCAAGGACGGTCCTCCAGCGCTCGTCAGGGTAGTCGGGAGAATTCACATGCGGGTTGAACTCCAGACACAGGACCAAGAGGAGTAACGCTTCTTCGAAAACCTCTCTACAACTGGCAGAATTCTTGGCTTTTTCCTTTTCTTGCTCTAGTATAGTGTATTCACGAGCCAGCGACTCCTGTTGGAGAAAAATGCCCACTGCATTACTAATATCCTATTAATTTTCATGCAGAACTGTGTGAAGCTGGAAATATATTCATATATACATATATACAGTCCCTCTCTTTCTCTCTCTTTATGTAGGCATATGTGTGTATCATATGTATATATATATATATATATATATATATATATATATATATATATATATATATATATATATATATATATATATAATAATTATTTATTCGACATTTAAAAAGATACACTGTTTCTGTACATTCATCACTGAAACATTTTTTATATATTTTCATAAATCTAAAGGAATATCAATATAGCAAAATTTAGTGTTACAACAAATAAGGGTAAATTATAATGCTAATTTATAAATGGTTTGTATGTTTAAATGCAAGCAATTAATTTGGGGAAAGCAATAAGTTCGTTATTCTAACAATTTCTCGTTAGACGAGTCCTTGCCTTCCTCCATGTAACAGGTAAGCTTAGTGCTAGTATATAAAATCACATTTTACCCTCATATAATAGATTTTAATACTTGATATGTATATTAACATAACAGTTTAATCCCTTTGTATTGATCCATGGTAATCAGATGAGTCCTGGCCTTCCTCCATATAACAGAGAGGAGAAATGGTGGAGAAACTGGAGAGAGCACGCCATAATGCCTTGTTGATAGGGGACATTTGTTACTTCTTTTAATGGTCTGGAGATACAGTAATAGAAGTAGTCGCAGGTGACAATTTCCAGGGTATCAATGAATAGATAGAGAATGGAATTAGTTATTAGAGCGAAGTTTAAGAGAAGAAAATTATAAAGAGGAAAGGAAGGGAAATAATCGGCTTATAGCCTAAGTAAAATCATGAAAGGAACATGGTTTGGATGTGAGGGTCTCGATTTCGTCTCACGTATGTTTTTTTGTTTATTAATATAATTTTGATTTCTAATTAATAGGAAAAGGGAGGGTATAGGATTAATCTTAGATATGAATTGAATTATTTGAGATTATTGCTTATTTTAAGTATTATGTGTATTACTAGATTTACAGAATGATATGCCATTTGTTCATCGTTTGGTTATTGAATAAAATACTAAGGGTCACAAATGTTTCTATGACCATTATAGTAATAGGCACACTCAACAGAGGAATTAATTCATTCCCACACCCACGAGCCTTAAAGACCGTTAGGTTATGCTACCACAAGATTTAATGGTACATTAAATCATTAAAAACAGGCCTACATTTAAATAAAATTGGATCATGGAAAACAGTAGTATGATGTTGTTACAAAAACTGAGTAGAATAAAATATGATAGATAAGAATATAAGAAAAATTATTATTTGTACATATACATATATATTCAGATATACGAGATGTGTCAGAAAAGTTCCAGGACGGATGTCGCAAGTGATTTATTTCAAACCCAACATCATAGTAAGAGTTTTCCCCTTCAAAGTAATCCCCCTGGAGTCTAATGCACTTTCTCATCCTACTCTGCTCATCCGGCTTGAATGTATATATTCACTTTTTTTATCTTACCGGTGTCTTTATTTATACGCTGCATAGGTTTTGTAACTCCTTTGATGCATATTTAACTTACCTGCAACTGACAAACACAAAAATATCCTTTGATAACACCAATAAAGGGTCATAAAATTACCCACCAATATCTTGTGGTTACCTGCAACTGTCAATGTTTACATACAAAATCTATCGTGACGTCATCTCGTCCTGCTCGCCCAGGTTCGCAGGAGGGTGAGATGGACGAGATGGACAATTTGTCCTGGATGAGATAGTAGAGGTTCCGAACGGTCAAAACATCTCGTGCAACTGGTCTGGACAAGCAGGACGAGCAGTTCCGAACGCAGCATATGTGTCCAAAGCATAATTACTTGCCTATTTAGCTCGATATAGTATACGTGCTCATTATTTTTTCGCTTTACAATATGATGGTACTCTACTGAACTAGCTAATCCTAACAAATCCTAAGTAAACGCCTCCTCATGTGACACGTCACCCTTCTCATGATATGTTCTTGTTACACTCATTTTCCATGCATATTAGTAAGGTGACTCACATATGTATTATCCTCCTCCTTAGCCCTTTTACTGGCCTGGTATGCTTATATCTCAGCTTCTGGAGACGATGTGAGCCTTCTTACCAAGTTTGTGAAGCATATATGTGTGTATATATGTTTGACAATGGATGACTGTCAGTAGTCACAGGTCGCTAAAGTACATGCATGCATATGTCAGCATACAATGCAAAGAACCTGCACTTCAGTTATCTGTTATTTGCATTTATGGTTGCTGCAAATGCACTTTTACTGATTGCTATACCTGGATAATTTCACTCGACATCAGGCTGATCGGGAGTCGTCCGTCGGTGTCGGGAAGGAAGAGGTTCCCCCCCATGTGGAGGGCGAGGGCTCTGGCCGTGCCGAGATGCCCTTCGTCCAGGGCAGCGTGCAGGGGCGTGGCGTCCTGGTGGTGGCGGGACACCGCGGAGCCGCCGCTGTTCCAGATCCACCAGGCCAGAGTGGAGGCCCCGCCCCTGGCTGCGCGGAAGAGCAGCGCGTCTAGAGAGTCCGAGGAGCCGGCGGGGCGCTCGAGCGCGGCCTCCCACGGCCTCTCTCCGTCCAGGGCCTCCAGCAGCGCCCGTGCAGCTGCCTGAAGGGCGTCATCCAGGGGCTGCATCTCCATCGCTATCCGGTCTCTGACAGCCTGTGTTTCCAGAATTAATTAGTCAGATGTACTGAAATCGGTGAAACCTTCCTTTTCTACTCACATTGATATAAACGACAGTTGCAGTTCAGGCTGAACTTGCAAAGTATCGTAAATATTTATATAGATTCATTATCTATCCCATGTCAGTAGACATTTAATGTCACTCAGACTAACTTCTTTTGCAATTCCCGACTTTAAAACTAAGATGATACAGCTACTGAATATACAGTGTTCGCTCTGATGCTGCATTGACTCTGTGTCTTAACTTCTATGAATAAGCTAGACCTTTGCCTTTCATCGGCTAGGTAATTTCCTAAAGGAGTTAATTAATTAGCATAGATTATCTAAAACCCCTCCTGCGGCTTTGCTTTACCTCTGCCTGGCGTCAAATGAAAGCACTCGTGCCTGCGCGTAAACGCACGCCACGTACCCTGGTGACCAGCACAGCGACCCAGGTGGTGATGTCGGGCGTGAGCCACGCGAGCTGCACCGGGCCAAGGCCGTCCCTGGTGGCCGTGAGCGGCGCCCCGGCGGCCAGAAGGAGGGGCAGGAGGGGAGTGCAGTTGGCGGTGATGGCGAGGTGAAGCGGGTAGCAGGTGTGGGACCCGGGAGGCTCGAGGGGGGCGCCTGAGGTCAGGAGCGACGATGCCTTCCTCACGGCCGACAGCGACGGGTTCTGACCCTTGGGGCTGGCGTCCGTGGACTCGAGGTCATGAGGTGTTGTTGCTGCATAGGCATTGTAGTATGCAGTCTCCGTTATCAGGCTAAGCAGATCTACAAACAGCTCTTCAGGACTCTGAAAGTAGATGGCATAACCTATGCTCAGTGCCAGGGTAAAGAATTTATCATAGACGAAGCAAGTCGGCCATGCACTATTTAATATCAAGTAAAGGTTACGATGAAAGCAACTTCCATTGCTACTCTACTTACTCCTTTGGTTTCACAAATGTAATTGCTGCTGATCATATTGTAAGCCTGCAAGTGAAGCGGGCAAGTCGCTGGGAGTCTTGCCGTTGAAGGTGAGAGCCGTGGGCAGGGCGCCTCGCTCCAAAAGGATCCTGATGTTGGGAAGGTTGTTCTGCTCGGCGGCCGCGTGGAGGAGCGTCCGCCCTTGCTGGTCCTGGAAGTGGATCTCGCACAGACCGAAGTCAACGCTACTTGCTAAGACGCCTGCATTCTTTTCCTGTTTTGTACTGGTACACTGAAAGCTCAGCGATCCAGAAAATAGCATATCCCTCTTGCAGATGTCCTGTTAAAAATGTTATTTACGAGGTTGAAATCAATTTCATTGTAATACAATAATTTCATGTATACTGTTTGTGCACTCATTTTGTGTTGATTCAGTGTGAGTATTTATGTCATTACCATTCTACAACCATGGAAACCTTTATATGTAGCATCTCTCTTGGCTTGCTTGTGAAGCCACCAAGCTGAATGAACTTGACCGCGAATGTGAGCTGTGTCTTCTGCAGAGAGCTTCAAATTGTCCCGGAAGGTGATGAGATCGGGATGCTCAATAACCAGTCTTTGAACAACTTCCAATCTCCCGTAGAAAGAGGCATAGTGGAGAACAGATTTTCCGGCGTCTGAGAGGATCTGCAAGTCTGCTCCGCATCTTACAAGTTCTTCCACAGCTGAAATGTGTCCCACTGAGGCAGCGTAGTGCAGTGCTGTACAACCACGTCTGTCAACTGCATTGACGTCTGCTCCCACGTCGATGAGCCTTTGAACTATTTTTGTAAATCCTCCGAGAGAAGCATAATGTAAAGGTGTATGGCCAGATTCAGTGGAACTGTTAGGGTTGGCATCGTTTTCCAATAAAATATCCACTGCTTCAGTATGTCCAACTAAACACACGATGTGAAGCCGTGTGTTCCCTTTTTGGGACAGAAGAGAAACATCCAGTGCTTCCAGTGCAGGGCTACTTTCTCCATTTCTGGCATAGTCTAAAAGAGCCTCATACGTGGCACTTGACTTCGGGATGTTCGCTACAGTTGCCAACAGAGAAACGATTTCCCTTCCCCCGCTAAGATAGAGCGGCGTGTCGCGTGCTCGGTTTTCGGCGTCAGGGTCTATACTCTTTTCAAAGGGTAAATCAACCCCTTCAGGGCTGCCCCGGGCAGCAGACAAATGATGTGTGGGCAAGTCACTGGTTGTACCAAACCCGATAATTAATTCTAACAGTTCAACTACTTTCAATACACATACTGAAAGAGCTTCAGAAACAGAATCCAATGCACCTGGTATTTGGGTACTCTTGATCGTTTGATCGTTCGTGATTAAATTCTTGCTCACCTGTAGGTTAGTAAATAATAATGATATATGATATATGTTTCACATATAATATTATCTACATATAAATAAATATACAAGAAAAAAATATAAAAAACGATAAATATATGTATGTGTGTGAAACTCCGGACAAAGAATGAATTCTTAAAAGATTTCGATGCATTTCGTCTTACCATCTTCCTCAATCACTGCTATTACAAGTGAGAAGGGCCCCAGCTATTTAGCAATATGATTCATCTGTAATATATATTAATGTGATTTTCTTTGGTTTTGCGCCCGCACGCGCGCACGCGCGTGTGTGTACGTGGGTGGTGCATATTAGTGTGTATGTGCATGTGTATTTGCGCACGAGTGTGTATGTACACAAATCTGTAGTCTCCAACTTACCGTCTTTGGTCTCTGCTTGTAAGTTGAGGCAGTCTGGAAAGGTGTGAGACCCTTGCTTTCAAAAAGGAGTTTAGTTATTTTCACTTTGCCACTTTCTGATGCATACTGGAGTGGCGTTTGCAGACTATCATTGGCAGCGTCTGGGTTAGCCCCGGCATCCAAGAGGACTTTGGCCATCGGCAAGCTTCCATGCATTGAGACGTGGTGGAGAGGAGTGTCTCCAGATTCGTCTTTAATTGCAACATCTGCTCCCGAATCGAGGCACTTCCTGGCAGCCTCGGCATCGCCCTGCCTTACAGCAGACCACGGCCTTCTCGGATGGTCCACCTTCATTTTGGTTGAAAACTCCTCAGTATCATTTGATAAGAATGTTTCATTGAGGTTGACCTTCTTACAAAGATTTTTTTCCAGATGCAGACGTAGAACCTGAAACACAGGCAGCGTGTTCATATATCAATATCGTTACAACTATTTCTAAATCTATTTTATCTATATCTGCATCCCTTCCTCTAACCTGTATATAGCTTATCACTGTTTCCCACCTAGGCAGAACCTGACATAAGCCTTTGCAAGTGAGCTTTAAAAGTGATAGTTGTATAGAGACTTACTTGTCAGAGGTATATTTTCATGTTGCGATATAACTTTAGGTTTTAGTTTTGCTATCTTTGCATCCGTTTTAACTATGTTTCATAAGGGTTTAAGTAGAATCATTAGAGTAATCCTTCATTATTTAGTGTCAGTGGTTTGTGAGAAGGGAGGAGAAAGAAGAATTTTGACACCAATAAAATCGTTTATCTCTCTCACGTATTTTATTTATCAGAAAAAAGTCACTTGCACACTCATGCATGAAAGCACTCCCAGGTTCGTCATCATCATTGGAGAATCCATTCTGTAGATGGCCAAATCATTTCAGTTCGTGTTGGGGTTCGGAAACATTGTACAAGGCTGACTAACCATCAGTGTCCATCCACCTTCCCTAACTAAAGGTAGAGAAGCATTTTCCAAGCTGAGGGGTGGTGAAACAGTGGGTATTTGGGGCATCCCTGCTGAAATGTTAAATGCTGGTTGTGGACCTATGCTGCAAGGTTTGCATGCTATCCTGGCTGCCATCTGGCATTCTGGTAACATTCCTTCTGACCTGTTGAGGCCAGGGGAAAGGGTATGGATGGGGCTGCAGCAATGACCAAGGAATTATAAAGCTCAGCATGCCAGACAAGGTTCTTCCCCCCCCCCACCCCCAACCCTGAGGCATATCAGAGATCCTCTATTGCAGGAATTGGGATTCACATATGGCAAGTCCACAACAGACCATAATCTGGCATTTTGTGTTACTGTTACTGTGTTACACTGGGCGCTTTAAGATCGTGTTACTCTAGTCAGAATTAAAGGCAATCTTTTCAATATCAGTATCATTCAAGCTTATGCTCCGACTTTAGATGCCGATGACGACGAAATCGATAGTTTTTCTGAAACTCTAGAGTAAGCGTGCAGTCAATGCAAATCGGCTGAAGTTAAAATCGTTATAGACGATACAAACGCAAAAGTCGGCAAAGGAAAACTTGGAAGCATTGTTAGTTCTTTTGGACTTGGGGATCGGAACGATAGAGGCGAGAAATTCATAGACTGGTGTGCCAGAAACCATCAGGTCATCACCGGTACTTGGTTCAAACATCAAGACGATTGTATACTTGGACTATCCCTGGTGATCGTACTCGCAATCAAATCGATTATATTACTATTGATTATCGTTTTTGTAATACTGTAAAAAACTGCAAAACATATCCTGGTGCGGCTTGTGGAAGCAACCATAACCCAGTTGTGATCAACCTAGAATTACGGTTGAAGCGAAAGAAAAATAGTTGCCGAGCAAAACGTCTGCAATACAATGCATTGAAAAATGATGGAATCAAGCAAGATTTCATTCAAAGAAGTATTGAGCACAATCGATCTGAATATCCCAAATAGTCTCTGGCAGGTTGCGAAAGAAGCTTTCCAGAGTGCAGCTAATAACACCATTCCATGGATGGCCGATGAAATACTGTATTTGATGGACGAAAGAAGGGCTGTGAAAAGTCGTAACGATGTGCAATACTACGAGCTGACTCGCGAAATGAAACGAGAGTGCAATGAAGCCAAGGAGATCTGGCTTAATGGTGAATGCGATGAAATGGAAGCAAGTATGTCGAGAAATTCAAATGACCTTTATGACAAGGTCAAGAAATTATCTGGAAAGAAAGGTAACAGCAGGAGTGGATGTATTCGTTCCGAAGACAGCGTCATGCTCACCGAATCTCAGGACATCTGTAACAGATGGGTGCGGTACATCAAAGAACTCTTTGATACGAGAAACGACCAACCGACCGTTGAAGCAGAAATAGAGGGACCGGAGATTAGCAGAGGTGAGATCAGGAATGGGATGAAGAAAATGAAGAAAGGAAAAGCGCTTGGACCCGATGAAGTTTCAGTAAAAATGCTCGAAGCTTTCGACGAAGGAAGTGATATTCTGTACAAAATTTTCGAGATCTACGACACCGGCGAATTACCTGACGATTTTTTAAAATCATCATTTATAACCTTGCCGAAGAAGCCCAGGGCGACAGAGTGCTAAGACCACTATCAGCCTAATGAGCCACTGCGTAAAGCTTCTTCTCACCATCATCATTGAAAGAATCCGAAACAGAAGAGCAATTTGGCTTTATGCCCGATCAAGGAACTAGAAATGCAATTTTCACTTTACGAATGTTATGTGAAAGGGCTATCGAGCAACAGCAGGAAGTTTTCCTTTGCTTCATCGGCTATGTTAAGGCGTTCGATAAAGTGCGCCATGAAAAGTTTTTCGAACTTCTACAAAATCTCGTCGTCGACGGCAAAGATTTACAATGGGTCAGAAACATTTATTGAAATCAAAAAGCTGCGGTAAGGGTCGATGATCAGTTAACGTAGTGGGTCTTGAGGCCTCCGTCAGGTCTGCGTTCAGTCGGCGGACTACTTCGATCTTTACAGTGAAATGATTCTCCGTGTGATTCATGGCCTGATCGGATTAAAAATCGGGGGTGTCAACATTAACAATTTGCGATACGCTAACGGCACAGTTCTAATTGCCACTTTCGAGGAAAATCTACAAAAAAATTTTGGATAAAGTTGTAGAAGCCATTGCAGAAATAGGCCTTTCTATCAACTACGACAAAACAAATCAACGGTAATTAGCAAGTCTGAAGAAAAATCTAGCTGTCAGTTGCAAGTCGGTGAAGTCACTGAGGAAACTGAAGTCTTCAATTACCTTGGCAGTCTAGTTACATTGGATGCTTGTAAGAAAGAAGTAAAGAAACGCATCGCTGTTTCAAAGGAAAAGTTTGGCGAAACGCGCTCAGTCTTTACCAACATTAATCTGTTCATGACTCCTTAAATGCAACATCTGGATGTGGTTCCTGTGTAGAATTCTTCGCATTTCATATATCGACAGAGTTGCAAATGAGGATGTGTTACTACGGACGGGGGGTGAGAGAGAGAGTTGCTTTCAACCATTACTGGAAGACAATTTCGATTTCTCGGCCACAAGATTAGGAAAGGCAGTCTCGAAATGTTGGCGATTCAAGGGAAAATTGAGGGGAAAGAAGCAAGGGGTAGACAACGCATGAAGTATTTGGATCGAACCAAATCCTTGGGTGGTGCAATATCAAGCGGTGATATCTTCAATTGGGCAAGGGATCGAAATCGATGGAAACTTGTGACAGCCAAAGCTTGTATCAAGTGTGGCACCTAACAGAACAGAGCGCCGTCATAAGTTCAGTTGTGGGCTGCTTGCATCCTGCATCGACCTCAAATAGGAATACGATATGGTACATTGTGAATCACTCTTTGAGATTCTGAGTCAGAGAGGAATCCAAACAAGGATTATTCGATTAATAACAAGCCTGTATAATACTTAAAGAGCTGAAAATATGATGGGGACCTGTCAAACTTATTCACTTATCAACATAGGAGTGATGCAAGGCTATGTTGTCACACCAACACTTTCCAACACAACAAAGACCGGATGATGGGCAGAGCTGTTATCAAAGGTAATTGCATAGTAACACTAGGCAATTCTAAGGTTACAACCCTCATTTCACTGACAATGTTGCTATTCTATACGAGTCGCAGGAGAGTGTAGAGGTGGCTCTAGATACCTTTAACTATCAAGATAATATTAAGAGAAGATGAATTATATCCGGTCTTGGCAACGCCTGACATGCTTAATTAATAGGCTTAGGTTCCAGACTGTCCATCTGGACAATACATAGTAAGGACGAAGCTGCTGGCAGGCATCAGCGCAACTGACATTTTGGGCTTTACAGATTTTTCTTCTTTTTTATGTTTGACGGAAACCCCGGACAAAGAAAGAATTCCTGGAGTCTATAGATTTCCATTCATTTCGTCGTACCATCTTTCTCAATCACTGTTATTACAAGTGAGAAGGACCCCAATTGATTCATCTGTAAGATAATGCACATTTTTTTTTTTTTTTTTTTGCGCACGTGAGAGAGTGTGTGTGCGCGTGTGTGGTGCATATTAGTGTGTATGTGCATGCGTATTTGTACATGAGTGCATATATACACAAGTCTGTAGTCTCCAACTTACCGTCTTTGGTCTGTGATTGTAAGTTGAGGCAGTCTGGACAGGTGTGAGACCCTTGCTTTCGAAAAGGAGTCTAATCATTTCCACTTTGCCTCTTTCTGATGCATACTGGAGTGGCGTTTGCAGACTGTCATTGGCAGCGTCTGGGTTAGCCCCGGCATCCAAGAGGACTTTGGCCATCGGCAAGCTGCCATGCTTTGAGACGTAGTGGAGAGGAGTGTCTCCAGATTCGTCTTTAATTGCAACATCTGCTCCCGAATCGAGGCACTTCCTGGCAGCTTCTGCATCGCCCTGCCTTACAGCAGACCACAGCCTTCTCTCAAGGTCCACCTGGGGAACAATATTTTTTATGGCAGTCTTTCACATTGATAACTGTATTCTAGAAATATTTGAAACTAACCTTATTATATGAATCCTGCCTTCTCTCATTATATATTTATATAAACATTTGCATCTCGGTATATCTTTACATCTGTCTCTAAATCTGTCTTTATCTATATATCCCTACATCTAACCTCTATATATCTTATCACTGTTTACCACTTAAGCAAAATTTGACATAAAACATTGCAAGTGAACTTTACAAGTGATAGTTTTATAGAAACATACCTATCCAAGGTATGTTTTCATGTTGCGATATGATTTTAGATTTAGTTTTACTAGGTTTGCATCCGTTATAACTATGTTTCATAAGGGTTTGAGTAGAATTATTAGAGTAATTATGAGAGGTGATATACCTCCTATATGGTTGATTGAATACTGGTGGGCAGTACTGATGTGGCTGTCCTCTTTATTGGCAAAGAGTAACTCGCACTTATCCATAAATACGCAAGTATCACGATGAAGAGCACGAAATAGCTGACGGTGCTGAGTGCCCGGCCTGCACGCCAACGAGGCGGTATGGCTGGTGGCAAGTCCGTCGAGGGTGTGAGCGTCCTAGTGAGTGAGAGCGCGACCCGCCCGGTCAAGGGCAGGCTCTTCGAGGGTGTGAGTGTCCTCGGTCAACCTCAGCTGACCTCTTGTAGGCGGCCCAGATACCCCAGGCAGGCTTAGGTTATATTTGAATGCAGGCGACCGAGCTTAGCGTGGGTACGCCATGCTAGGAGGAAACTTACAAGGAAAACCATGCTAGGAGGAAAACCAACACGGAACCCAAGCCTCCCAATCCACGTGTGTGCCATGAGTATGCTTTCTCTCATTGCCACGTGTCCAATCTCTTCTATAGTATACTATAATACTCCTTCATTATTTAGTGTCAGTGGTTAATTTGTGAGAAGGGAGGAGAAAGAAGAATTTTGACACCAATAAAATCGACAGGTGATGGACACTGAAAAAATTAGGTTTGTATTTTTTTTCTTTTCTTTTTAAGTAGTCGAGGAAAAGCTATTATTAGTGTGTATCTCTGACACGTATTTTAATTATCAGAAAAAAAAATCTTTAGATATGCGGAAATGCATCGGTTAGTGTCTATTTATATAAGATCTCTCTAAATCCGCTTGCACACTCATGCATGAAAGCACTCCCAGTTAGGCCAGGTTCGTCATCATCATTGGAGAATCCATTCTGTAGATGGCCAAATCATTTCAATTCGTGTTGGGGTTCGAAAACGTTGTACAAGGCTGACTCACGCATCAGTGCCCATCCACATTCCCTAACTGAAGTTAGAGAGGCGATCTCCAACCTGAGGTATGATAAAGCAGTGGGTATTTGGGGCATTCCTGCTCAAATGTTAAATGCTGGTTGTGGAATTATGCTGTCCTGCCTGCCATGTGGCATTCTGGTAACATTCCCCCTGACCTGCTGAGGCCAGGGGTATTGGTATGGATAGGACTGCAGCAACAACCAAGACATTACAAAGCTCAGCATACCAGACAAGGTTCTTGTTCCCACCCCTCTGAGGCATATCAGAGATCCCCTATTGCAGCAATTTGGATTCACTTCTGATAAGTCCACAAAAGACCACAATCTGGCGCTCAGAGCCATTGTCAAGTGCCGTCGTGAGTTCAGTTGTGGGCTGCTTGCATCCTCAAATAGGAATACGATATGGTACATTGTAAATCACTCTGGGAGATTCTGAGTCTGAGAGGAAGCCAAACAAGGATTATTCGATTAATAACAAGCTTTATAATATTCAAGATGCCAAGTATGGTGGGGACCTGTCAAGCTTATTCACTTATCAACACAGGAGTGATGTAAGGCTATGTCGTCACACCAACACTTTCCAACACAACAAAGACCGGATGATGGGCAGAGCTGTTATCAAAGGAATTGCATAGCAACACTAGGCGATATTAAGGTTACCAACCTTGACTTTACTGACGATGTTGCTATTCTATACGAGTCTCTGAAACTGTAGAGGTGGCTCTAGATACCTATAACTATCAAGATACTATCCATACAAGATTAATGCTTAGGTTCCAGACTGTCCATCTGGATAATACCTAGTAAGGACGAAGCTGCTGACATTTTGGGCTTTACAGATATTTCTTCTTTTTTATGATTGATGGAAACTCTGTATAAAGAAAATTCCTGGTCTTTAGCTTTCCATGCATTTCGTCTTACCTTCTTCCTCAATCGCTATTGTTACAAGTGAAAAGGGCCCCAGCTGTTAGCAATGTGATTCATCTGTAATATAATACAATTTTTTTTCTTTGGTTGTGCGCACGTGTGTGTGTGTAAGTGAGAGAGAGAGAATCTGTGAGTACGTGGGTAGTGCATGTTAGTGTGTGTATGTGAGTTGTGTGTGTGTGTGTGTGTGTGTGTGTGTGTGTGTGTGTGTGTGTGTGTGTGTGTGTGTGTGTGTGTGTGTGTGTGTGTGTGTGTGTGTGCGCGTGCGTGGGTAGTGCATATTAGTGTGTGTGTGTGCGTGTATGTGTGTGTGCATGTGTATTTGCGCATGAGTGTATCTATACACAAATCTGTAGTCTCCAACTTACCATCTTTGATCTGTGCTCGCAAGTTGAGGCAGTCTGGACAGGTGTGAGACCCTTGCTTTCAAAAAGGAGTCTAGTTATTTTCACTTTGCCTCTTTCTGATGCATACTGGAGTGGCGTTTGCAGACTATCATTGGCAGCGTCTGGGTTAGCCCCGGCATCCAAGAGGACTTTGGCCATCGGCAAGCTTCCATGCATTGAGACGTGGTGGAGAGGAGTGTCTCCAGATTCGTCTTTAATTGCAACATCTGCTCCCGAATCGAGGCACTTCCTGGCAGCTTCTACATCGCCCTGCCTTACAGCAGACCACAGCCTCCTCGCAAGGTCCACCTCCATTTTGGTTGAAAACTCCCCAGTATCATTTGATAAGAATGTTTCATTGAGGTTGTCCTTGTTACAGACAGTTTTTTCCTTAAGTAAAGGGAGAGCCTGAAACAAAGACAGGGTGTTAGTTCATATATTAATACGATTCAACAGTCATGATCCTCTGTGAGTTGAGACAACACAAATTCTCTTTCCTTCTTCACGAAGGTAACAATGCCACTACTGCTTGTCGAACAACTGGACAACTAATGTCCAGGGAGTAATAACATTGTCTTCCACAGCTATTTCCCGCACCGAGAACTGGGGAACAATATAATTTATGGCAATTTTTCTCGTTGATAACTGTTTTCTAGAGATATTTGAAACCAACTTTATTATATGAATCCTGCCTTCTCTCTATATATATTTAGATCAACATATGCATCTCGGTATATCTTTACATCTCTAAATTTTTCTAAATCTATCTTTATCTTTATCTACATCCCTTCCTCTAACCTCTATATATTTTATCACCGTTTCCCACTTAGGCAGAACATGACATAAAACTTTGCAAGTGAGCTTTACAAGTGATAGTGATATAGACATACTTGTCAGTGGTATATTTTCACTTTCCTAATGTAGTGTTGCGATATAACTTTAGCTTTAGTTTTGCAAGGTTTGCATCCGGTATAACAATGTTTTATAAGGGTTTAAGTAGAAAGAAATATTAGAGTAATCCTTCATCATAATAGTTCAGTGATTAATTTGTGAGGAGTGAGAAAGAAAAAGAAATACACCATTAAAACCGAAAGGTGATGGGACACGGAAAAAAATGTTTGTCATTTTTCTCTATGTAGTCGAGGAAATGCTGTTGGTCGTCTATCTGTCACGTATTTTAGTCATCAGCCAACCAAAAAATACTTCATAGATCTTAAGATTTAGAATCTATATATAGACAATACCTTTCCTTCTAAAGCTTTAAAAAGAGAGAAAGAGTAGGGAAAGATGGAGAGAGAGGTAGACCACAGGGAAAAGAAGAAAAAAAGAATATAGGAAATATATTAGAGTAATCCTTCATCATATAGGTTCAGTGGTTAATTTGTGAGGAGTGAGAAAGAAACAAATTACACCATTAAATCCGAAAGGTGATGGGGCACGGAAAAAAAAATGTTTGTAATTTTTCTCTATGTAGCCGAGGAAATGCTGTTGGTCGTCTATCTGTCACGTATTTTAGTCATCAGCCAACCAAAAAATACTTCATTGATCTTAAGATTTAGGATAAATCTATAGACAATACCCTTCCTTCTGAAAATTTAAAAAGAGAAAAAGAGGAGGGAATGCTGGAGAGAGGTAGAACACAGGAAAAAGAAGAAAAAAGAATATAGGAAATCTTTGAGTAAATCAATTACTTATAATTTTCATACCAAACAGAAATGAACTGGCTGATAATATTAGTTTATTGAATATTTCTGGTTACTTTCAATTCTTTGCAGTATACAGCGAAATTTGATTAAATATATACTGTATTAGCACATGGTAATTGGGGCATTTGAACTTGCCGTTTTTATCAGTTACCTCCTATATGAAAACAATTTTGCTAGAAGCCTAGGTATACAACAAATGGTACTTCAGGTCGTTGAGGAATTCTGCTCTTCACTTTAAATTCACTTGCACACTCATGCATGAAAGCACTCCCAGTTAGGCTAGGTTCGCCATCATCACTGGAGAATCGATTGTGTAGATGGCCAAATCATCTCAGTTCGTTTTGGGGTTCGAAAACGTTGTACAAGGCTGACTCACGCATCAGTGCCCATCCACCTTCCCTAACAACAGATAGAGAGTCGGTTTCCAAGCTGAGGGGTGGTAAAACAGTGGGTATTTGGGGCATCCCAGCGGAAATGTTAAAATGCTGGTTGTGAACCTATGCTGCAAGGTTTGCATGCTGTCCCGGCTGCCATCTGGCATTCTGGTAACATTCCTCCTGACCTGTTGAGGCCAGGGGAAAGGGTATGGATGGGACCAGACAAGGTTCTTGCTCATACTCTTCTGAGGCATATCAGAGATCCCCGATTGAGACACAAGAGGCATTAGAAATTTGGATTCACTCTTGCTATGTTCACGATAGACCACAAACTGGCGCTCTGAGCCATTGTAGAGTGCCGCCGTGTTATCAAACAGAGCTGTTATCAAACGTGATTGCAGAGTAACACTAGGCAGTAGTAAGGTTACCAACCTTCATTTCACTGACGATGTTGCTATTCTATACGAGTCTCTGGAA